GTTTCCGACTGCGGTGAAGTTCTTTCTGGATTTGGGTTGGCGGATGATGGGTTCGACCAAACATCTCAAACGCAAGTTGTTGATGAATGGTGGTATTTCATGCAGTCCTGTGAAACGATCTGGGCAAGATTCAAAGAGGGTGATATACCTGACCAAAGAGAGGATAATCGTATTGATACAATGGGTGTTAGATAGGTGTTTTACAAGCCTTGGAGGCTGTTTCTGGAAACAGAAGTCGAGAATCCAAATGAGGCTCCCCTGTTCTCCTGCTTTTTGCGCCATCTATTTTTTTAAGTATGAGTACAAGATGATAATGAGAATCCTAGACAACAAGGCATATGAAATCCTTCCCCTCTCTAAGAATGCGTTCAGATATATTGACGACCTACACTGTCTGAACAATCCCTTTATTATGAAATTTCTAGATCCTGAAATCCCAAAGGAGGAGGATAACATATATAAGCTATATCCTATGGATCTCATTGAGATCAAAAATCAAATGAGAACCTTCACTAAGGGAACGTCAGAAGAAATATACGGGTTAAAAACCCAATTCCTGGATCTGGAAATTTATGTCATTTCGGAGCAAAAGGGTGAATTTGTCACTACAAGGTTTGACAAGAGAAGACTTATGAATTTCTCTATTTCTAAATGTGTTAAATATCATTCAAATCGACATATCCAACAGTCGGTTAACATTATCATCTCCAAGGCTGCCATAGTCCTGGTACTGTGCTCCAAACCCTCGGATGCTGCAAACGAGTTATGGTACATTGTGGAGGAAATGGTGAAGAATGGTTTCCACAAGCAAAAGTGTCTACGCCGTGTGTATTTAGTTCTTGACTCTCCACATCTATACATGAAACCCATAGTGGATGTGCAAGCGACGTGCAACATTTTCAACGTACCAATCTTTCCCATCCTATGATGATGTGTGGCTAAAAGTTTGTGTTGATTGTGTTATGTATACAAATCTTTTCAGTCCCGAACGGCAAGGACTGTGGCAGGTGGCTGACAGGTAGTACCTTGCTGATGAGGCAGGTCCCTGTCACCTGCCTCAGCAGCAACCTGCCAGCAGAGATAGGGGTGGGTCACACGCACACACACACTCATATATATATATACATTTTCATATAAAAAATAATAATAATATAATTAATATTATTTTTTTCCCAACTAGTTATGTAAAAATTATTTTGGTGCATGTGTACCCCCCAAAACAAGGGGGTGGGTACATATATAGCCTTTGTCGAAAAGGAAAAATAAAAAAGAAGTTTTCCTTAATGTTTACAATTGGAAATGAAAAGGTTTACCTTCCCTTTGGTACCCATACGAAGGATAGGTGTAAAACCAACCGGCGGCGCTAGCCTGTCCAGTGATGATTTTTACTCCGCAATATACCCACCCTAACCTCCCCCTTCGGCTGGAACTCGAATACCCCCTGTGTTTTCTGTTTTGTGCTCTGGTCGTTCAGACGAATGGTCCGCGGGCTGATATTTAAGACAAGAATAACAAACAGTCCATCCTCGTGTTTTGGTAAAGCCCCGGTCCTGGTGCCTTGGTGCATAGGGATGCTTTGAGGCCAACGTCCACGGACCAGCGCTGCATTGATGCCTATGGGTGGTGGTAGTCTACATCGCTGTCGCCTTCCGGATTACAGTTCTCCGACGGTCTGTTACTCCGTCTTCTTCATGAATTTTACACCTTCCCCCTGTTTTCGTAATCCTGTCTAACATCGTAAGAATTCCAAATCCCGTTCCCTCCTTGGTGGATTTCTGTAAAGGACAACTCACGGACTACTGGTTTGTCTTATTCGAGGTTGACGAACGCGGACATGGGGGATGCATCGACATCATCGAGGGTGGTAAATACATTGTATACGTTCCCTTTCCCTTCTCCTAACCCTGTCCTATACCTTGGCCTTAGAAGTGAAGGCCGTGTCCCTTTCGACACGATAACTAAGGGCATTATACCCCCTGATGAGCCAACCATAGCAGAGTTGGCAAAAAAGCTTTTGGGATTTCCTGCTAACTACCCTAATGTTTCGTGGACACTATGGGGTCGTGTAGTTGAATTGGGACTTCCTTTTGTAAATTTTTACGGATATATTCGGGGTACGATGCTACCTTACCGTATCTTTCTACATGTGTTGCTATGTTCGTTACTGTTTTTGTGTGTGAGTTGTGACGTAGGATTTGGTGCGTTCTCGCTAATCATGATATGCGCACGATTTCAGGAGAATAGCATTCCAGATGGATACGGCATACGTCTGAGTGGCCATTGTCGCTATCTTCACCATATTTCTTGCATTGCTCGCTTTCTTTGTGGCTGTGGAATTTTCCTTTGTACGCATGTTGGACTGCGGATTCTGCTTCGTGGGCAATAGCTCTTCGGGAAGGAGCGCGCAACCCAAATTCTGCCGAAAGGAGTAGGAGAATGGAAAGTTTTTCTTTTTGGTGATGGCTTTCATCCTTTTGATCGCTGCAGGGGCCTTTTCCATGACCACGATGATAGGTGTTATGCTTGAATACTCGATGTTTTGGTCTACAGGAGGAGGGGTTTGTTCGAGGGGGGATGGGATCTGACTGGTGTTTCTTGGTGGTTCTTGGCTATCCCTAATAGCGGCGATTGGGGGCTCTGCTCACATATTGGAAGGCTAGGTCCTCCACTTTCCTCCCGGTCTACTACCACCCGTCGTATGAGTGATCGACTTGACTAAATTCGCCGGAATGAGTGGATGGAGCACGTTTGGAGTATTAATGGCACCGTTGGGGTGCAGGAGAGCGAATGGGCGTGGAATGGCTCAGTACGGGAATATGATTTGGGAGGGTGATGCAGATCATGGATGGCAGATGGCAATAAGTGTATTGCACTTTCGGTAGAGTCTCTAAAAATCTTCTTCGTGCAATATCGGAACGACGACATCGGGGGCAGGTGTAAAGTGATTTCCGATGGACGGATTAGTATGGTTCTGAGGTGTCCCAAATCACTGGGCACTGTAGGTATATTCAATCCACTATCCCTCCTAATTTTTTTTTTGGAAATTTCCGATGATTGTTCTAGTAGGGTAGTTAGGATTTACCATGTTTTCTTTCACCATGGCAAACTCAGTTGATTTGGGTAATGTTAGATGGATTTGGGAATGGAGGTCAGATTAATCATGGCATGTGACCGAGGCGAACGTATGCAATCGATGAGAATACTGTACGCCACTAGGAGTGAACGTAAGAGGCCTGCTTTTGAAGGTAGCAGTCATATTCGCATAAGAGGTCTTAGTAATTTTTCCATTGTAATCGTTTTGTTTTGTCTATTCGACCGCATATTGTAGCAAGTAATTGAGTAAACTCTGAGGATTGCGAGTACTGGTGATGACAATCGTTTTTTTCAACAAAAAAAATCATTTGTAAGGCCTCTCACGTCATGTGTTCAAGCTAATCGTTTTTTTTTTTAAATGAATAGGTTCTCATTCGAATCATGCCTGAAAAAATTGATCTAGACTAGTATGCGCCTCCATTATCTGTCTTATTCATACCTCCTCGTATTAAAATTGAAAGAATTGCTTTGCTCTGGTGTAGGGGTTGTGGATATGTGAAAATAAGAGTAATGGTGTGAATTATGTTTGTTCCTAATCTGGTGTAAGCTGCTTGATATATGGAAAGCATGTCTGACTTAAGGTATGGCAGTTACCCTGATACGTCTCAAACTATTTTGCACGTGCAATATAACTTCGTGATTATCTTGAGACTCCTTCACAATGTCCATCACTGCCCATAAGCATGCCACCCATATGGCTATTTTAACTTGGGTATCACATGCTTTTTCAAAAAAAAACTAGGCTACCAGAGTGGCCCGGGGTCACTTGCCCGGCCGGGCCAAAAAAAAAAAAAAAAAAAAAAAAAAAAAGAATTTATTTTTTATTTTAAATTTGGTGAAGATTTTTTATTTTTTATTTTTTAAAAAAGGGCGATGGCTTGAGGTAGTATCATTGGACTAACCAGCCCAGGCAAATTCAATCTCGTGTCTAATCTGACAACGGTGGCCTTTTCAGCCCAGGGTGGCCTGATAGCCTTCAGGGAACCCCCAACGGGGGGCACCAGCAAGGGGACAGCCGGTGGCAGAGGGACCGAGCATCATCTGAGTGGCCAGTCGCTGTGCCTCCCCGATTACCCTCCCCCTATGAACATCAGCAGAACCTGCTTTTTTTAATGCCAATTGGGGGGACCAACGGGCTATCTCTAGGTGGTGGGCGCCAAGCATGCCCAGGAAGGTACATGAGGCCAAAGGGGATTGAACCCAAGACCTCCTGAATGCCACTTGCGTACCTTACCAACTGAGCTAGGCCGCTGGATGGTGAAGAATTTCGATGTGGCCCTGAGGCAAATGTTGTTCAGTTTATTTTTCTGTTGGGACCTTCTGTGGTCCTTGCACGGGCTGGCCACCCGGGACCCGGTTGGCCCGGCTGGTAGCCTAGAAAAAAAACCCTTTGTTTGGGAACTATCGGGGTCTTGAGGTTATTTGATGCAACCCCCCAAGGGGAATTAGTTTCAAATCTTCATATAAACCATACCACATTGATCTGCATCGTTATAATGGGCATGCTGTATTGTTATGTTTGCTGTGCCTGTTTAGGCGCTGTGGCTTCCTGTTCAAGCAACACACACACACGCACACACACATGTCGCCACAGCAGCCCCCAAAACCCCGCCGGCGACCGGTACCGGCCCAGGCGAACCCCATTCACAGGCCTCGAAAATGTGTTCTCATGAACGTTGTTCGTGACCCGTTCGCGCGAATGTGGGAACGTATTCGCCCGAACGGGAAGGGCCGTGAATACGTTCGCTGTGCTACGCAGCCAGACTTCGTGAACCTGCTGTATAATTCAATTCCATTAATTGCCAATGTACTAGAACATCATGGGCATGGGAGTTTGCTCTCACATGCCACAAAGCTTTTCCACCCTGACCTTACCAGTTTCACACTTTTCGTGTTATTAACTTATTAGTATGTTATTGCAAATTTGCAATATTATTTCAACCGCAGTGTCCAACACTTGAAAAAGACAGTGGTGGGAAAAGGGATTCTGGAAAGGCCACCCACAGCAGGGAAGCAACACAGAGGACACTGGAACTTCCTCAAACGAATCTGCCCATAACTGCTGTCAGATGCACCCGGAAACGTCACCGTGTGGATTTGCCATGCGTAAAAATTCCTGTACTCAAAGCCCCATAACTTGCCAATGAAAAATGCCTGCACCCAACCACCTGGATAGATAGATGAACCGCCTGTCTCCAAAAAAGGGCTTCCTAACTTCCCTTTTCCTTTTCCTCTTTTCCCCATGACAAAGGCAACCATTTCCATAACTTAACAAAAAAGAAGGAAAAAAAGAGAAGAAGCGGAGTGTTCGTATTTCATATAACTGGAAAATCCAATTAAGCAAGGAACTTGCCAACCCTAGACACTCTCGTCACACCCGATTACTCCTTACCACGCCCACGAACTGTCGATGGTTGCCAGAAGCATATAGGGTACTACCGAGCGGGCTGCCGTACAAGATCTACATTGCGGCAACGCTTTGGTTATACCTTTTCAACATTAAAAAGTTGTTCAGAATTTGGGGTACTACTGCATGGGCTGCCGTACAAGAACTACGTTGTGACAATGCTTTGGTTACCTTTTCCACTTTAAAAAGTACTTCGGAATTTGGGGCTGTAGGCCTAGAAGGCAGGGCACGGGGGAAAAAAATAGGAATTGCCATCTACAGTCCGATCTCAATTGCATCTCCCGCTTCTGTTTTTCGATCACCAATCAGCACCACACCTACGCCTGCCTACCATCTCTCGCATTGCTACTGCGCTCAGCAGGCGCTTTGCATCTGATGCCAACCTGAGATGAGTGATGATCATTTCCACTCTGGTTTTCTGTGCTTGCCGAGCCCCAACAGAGAATCACACTTCTCAAAGGCTCACAAATAAATATCCATGTACCTTCACGGCTCTGTTCCCCTTCTTTTGCCAAAAGGAGTCATACTTCAACACCCAAAGAACGATACAAGGACCCAATCAACTGCCAAAGCCGGAGTTGCTCAGCAATTGCTGTACCAAGAAAGATGAATTTCGCCGCATTTTGGAGAGATCAATTCTGTTAACTTCAAGTCCCGAGGCACAGGATTTGACGATGGCAAAAGCCCCTCCCTTCCTCTCCTCTCCTCCCCTCCCCTATCTTGTCCTCTCCTCTCCTATCCTCTCCTATCCTATCTTTTGCGCTCCTCTCCTGCAAGCTAGAAGCAACAGCTACCATTCAACCGCACTACTTTCTGAAGCCTTTGCAGCATAACCATGAGATGATGGAATGGCGAACCGATCGCAATGTGTGTGAAAGGCATGCCTTTCCTCTTTGCGAAATTGCTAATCCCTGTCCCAATCTACCCAAGTCTGGATCCTAACGCAATGGCCCTGATGCGATTAGGTGAGAGCTTTCCATAGCAGCGGTTCGTTGTAATCAGAGAGAACCATGCATGCGCCTGCTGCTTGTAGTGATGACGCTGGGTTGCCCGTGGCAATACCCACCACTTTCATCCCTGCTGCAACTCCCGCCTCGACACCCGAGGGGGAATCCTGTTCCACCACCCCAGAAAAAAACAATAATGTACCCATTAGTACCATAATACCATTACTTGAAGAAAAAAAAAATATATATATATATATCGTCACAAACAGAACTGCCCAGTAAACCGTAGGCAGAGAGAGAGAGAGGAGGACAACAAACGAGGGGCTGTGACAAACTGTTTCGTCGGAGTTTCACCGACTCATCAGGAGGTATATATATATTTATTAACAAATTTGGACCATTTCCCAATTTATGCTTGTCATCCTTGTGCAGGGGCCATGCTAATCTTCTCTGTATCATTCCAGTTTAAACAGCCAGCACCTTTCCCATACGTCGACCCTGTGCGCCAAGCATTTGGGATGTATCTGGCCGGTGTGCATGCCAGGGGCCGGCCTCTGTGTTAACCGGTGGGCAATTTAGTTTTGCCTGGGAAAGATACTGGCGGTTTAACAGATGTCCCGAGCAACTTTTTATTTTTTTAATAATCCTACCTCTTATAGCGCATTGGCTGCGGGGGGGAGGATGGTGGTCCGCTGCGTGCGGAACCTGGTGTGCAAATGCTTGCGGGCCATCGGATGGGGTGGATCGATGGGCAGGGTGTGTGCAGACGGTTAGCGCGCCAGTTAACGTGGTGAGGGCAGGTACACGTGCGGTGTGCGATGAGCGCCGATCGACAAAATATCTTGAAAGGAGAACCGCCCGTCATTTTGTTCCCCCCTTTTTTTTTCATTTTCCCGCCCGTCGTTTTGTACCACAGCCTGATGGCGGGGGACCGCCGTTTGCTTCCCCCCTTTCCTTTTTTCCATTTTCCTGCCAAGAAAAAGAAAAGCTGCGGCTGGCCCACCCACCCACACACACACCTGCCCGCCCACCCACCCACCCACCCGCATGCATGCACGCACGCCCACCTGCCCACACACACAGTAATATTCTAAAGCTTGCTGCTATGTTCTAACTGTTGTAGCTGGAGTTTGAACCCATGCACAGATTTGAGAAACCCAACTGCCCGATGAGACAACTATTGAGGTAGACTGGGTCCCCGTGTCACACGGGGACCCTTTTTGTTTTAGGTGTATCCCGTGTCAGGCAGCTGGCACCTCAGGATGTGTCTGCGTGTCCAAACCCTAACCTTGCAAAGTGTGGAAAACCGGCTGAATGGCAGAAATGGAAAATGTATCAAATTGCCACCACGATGTTTTGCAGCCAAAACATTTTTTTTTTTGTAATATTTTTCATAGAAAGATCACAATGGAATCTATGGACTCTGAAATTTTCATATTTTTTCTTATATTCTTCTGAGCGAAAAAAATCATGAGAGATGCAGTACTTTTCTGTTGGCCGGCACATGACATAGTGGCAAAAATGGAAAACTGCTGAATTCGCGCAGTAATTATTTCACGGGATTTTGTTTTTGAAAATATTTTTACTGAGAAGATCAAAACGAAATCGGTGGGCCCTGCACTTTTCGTACTTTTTCACACATTCTTCTGAACGCGAAAAAACAGTAAAGTTGCAATACTTTTTCCCTTGGCCTACACATGGCAAAGTGTCACAAATGGTGAATGGGACGAAACCTCGCAGCAATTATTTCACAGTTGAAACTAGGCTGTTTTCCCGGGCGCCCAGGCACCCAACTTCTGCCCGGATACACGCCCGGGTGCCCGGCCGGGCATGACCCCCGGGCAGGGTTCCGGGCAGCCCCAGCGCCAAAAAAAAACTCAAAAAATTCCGGAAAAAAGTTATGTTGTGTAGGAGTGAAATACAAACGACTTTTGGCTGAGGGTCACATTATAATTCCTTACAGAATCAGAGATAAAAAAGAAAATAACAGAATCAGACAAAGGCATCCCCCTTTAGACCCCTTTAGCCCCTTTAAAACGAATTTATAACCCCCTCCCCCCTCCTTGACAGCCAACTCGCAAAAAACGAAATGAGCCCGGATTTGGAGTCCTCTGGAAGAGCACAGAAAACCAAACTTTTTCTTTTTTTTTTGCACGCCCGGGTACCCTGGGCGCCAGACCCCCCCAGCGTCACGCCCGGGTGCCCGGCTGGGCAGGACCGGCCGGGCGTGAGAATCTTCCTAGAGTTGAAATGAATTTTAAGAATTTTTGGATATTTTTTCCGAGGAGATCACAACCTAATCTACAGGATCACAATTTTTCAGATGGTCGTGTGCATTATTCTGAGCACGAAAAATTCCCAAAGTAGCCACATAAAACTATATTCTTTGCTCACTGTTGACTGCCTCTCCGTAATACCCAAGTCCCTGACCCTGGGCCAGAATCAGGTCCACGACACAGGCCCATACCCACGCCTAGCCCCAGGTCCAGGATTCAGGCCCATGGCCCTTTTTTTTTGCTGACTTTTTTGGAAACCTTGATGCCGACCTTTTTTTCTTTTTCTTAAAAAAGTGTATCAGTTTTGGGAAATGCACAGGCCCGGGCCTCTTTTTTTTGTTTTTCTTAAAAAAGTGTCTCAGTTTTGTTAGGATGGTTGCAATAATAGCCTCATCCAAGATAGTGTCAAGCATTTACAAAACTGTCCAGCAATTGAATAACATACACATAGATAAGAGTGGGATAAAGAACAACCAATTCTGAAGACCACACGACCAGACAATCGTTGGATCAGACAGGGTACATCATGACATCAGCACACAAACAATCAAGCACCGACACATGAATACCCCCGAAAGACGACTGATGGCTTAAATCACCAGTACTTCCTAAGGTCGTGCCTGTCAACGAGCCAAGATTTTAGAAGATGTACTGGCCACTACAAGAGCACCCCAATTCATCAGCCTAGAAACGTTTGTACTCTATTTTTTCCCGCGGCCTATAGCTGAGCCAAGTACTTACTGGTGGTTTAATGATTAAGCAATGAAAACGAAGCCATAAAGCTCGAACCAAAATGGGTGTTGTGCCCGTAGTCGTAAGAACCATCTCAGGCATTGGTGTCAGCCTTACTATAGTTTCATCAGCTGGCCATACCCGGAATCATCAGGGATCAAGTTACGGTGGCGGTGACCCCAAATGTGCCGTGGACGAGTAGATGTAGAAAGAACAATAAAGTACAAAGCGTCTGAGTAAAGAAACCAAGTAGAGTACCGCCTGGAAAAAAAAAAAGAAAAAGAGAAAGGAACCCCCCAAAAGTCCCAACAGTTCCAAGACTCCGATATCAATTGGACCAATCCAGACCATTCTTGGTACCGTCGACCCATTCAGCCAAACACGGTGCCCTTTTAACTTCTTGGAAATCTCCTGGCCCAGGCCCAGGCCCTTTTTTTTTTTTTTTTTTACTTCTTGGAAATCCCGAGGCCCAAGCACAAGCACAAACCGGATTCAGGTGCAAGGGCCAGTCTCAGACGCAGTTTTTTTTTTTTTTTTTTTTCCCGGAAATGCACAGGCCCAGGCCTTGGGCCAGATTCAGGCCCAGGACACAGGCCCAGGCCCATGCCCAAAATTTAGGCCAAGACCTTTGCGTTTTTTTTTCCCCGAAAGGCCCAGCCCCAGCCTTGGGCCCAGTATTCAGCCCATAAGTCTCTATGAGACGATACTCTATTCTACGATATTGTACTCTACGATACTCGTCTCTATGTACTCTACTCTTCTCAATTCTCCTCAACTCTTCTCTTCTCTACTCTTCTCTACTCGTCTCTACTCTTCTCTACTTATCTCAACACTTCTCTCCTTTGCTATACTGTGCTCCACTCTGCTCTACTCCTCTTTTCTTTCTTACTCTGCTCTTCCCTACTCTACGCCTCCCTACTCTACTCACTCTTCACTACTCGTCTTCCCTACGCTTCTGTCCACTCCACTCCACTCGAATCTCCTTCATTCCGTCTCCTCCACTCAACTCCACTCCACTCTTCTCTACTCTACTCCACTCTACTATATTCTACTTTACTCTACTCTACTCTACTCTACTCTACTCTACTCTACTCTACTCTACGCTACTCTACTTTGCTCTACTCTACTCTACTCCACTGCACTGTACTTTATGCTATGATACTCATATCTACTCACTCTACTGTACACTACTCTACTCTACTCTACTCTACTCGGCTCTACACGACTTGATCCTACTATACTCTGCTCGACTTGATTCTACTCTAATCTACTATACTCTAGCATACTCTACCCTACTCTACTCTACTTTATTCTACTTTACTCTACGATGGTCTATACTTCCCTACTCTTCTCGACTTTACTCTTCTCTACTCTTCTCTACTCTACGCCCCCCCTGCTCTGTTCTACTTTGCTCTTCTCTGCTCTGCTCTGTTCTACACTACTTTGCTCTGCTTGATCTACTTTGCTCTACTTCTCTCTTCTCTTCTCTACTAAACTCGACTCTAATCTATTCTACCTCTCTACTCTTCTCTTCTCTCCTCTTTTCTACTCTTCTTTGCTCTTCTCTGCTCTTCTCTTCTCTGCTCTACTCAACTTTGCTCCTCTTCTCTTCTCTTCCCTGCTATACTCTGCCTTACTATGCTCTTCCACACTCTACGCTTCCCTACTTTTCTCTACTCTACTCTTCCCTACGCTTCTCTACTGTATATGCTTCGCTGCTTTGCTCTACTCTGCTCTGATCTACACTCCACCACTCTGCTTTGCTCTACTCCACTCTACTTTAAGCTTCTCCACTCTGCTCCACTCTACTCCACTCTCCTCCTACGCACTCCACTCCACTCCACTCTACTTCACTTTACTCCACTCTACCCCACTCTCTTCTACTCCACTTCACTTTACTTTACTCTACTCGACTCCACTCGACTCCACTCGACTCCACTCGACTCCACTCCACTCTACTATACTCCACTCCAAGCTACTTTACTCTACTCTACTCTCCTCCACTCTCCTCCACTCTCCTCCACTGTACGCTTCCCTACTCTTCTCTACTCTACTCTTCTCTTCCCTATGCTTCTCTCCACTCTCCTCCACTCCACTCTACACCACTCCCGGAAGACGCGATCCCTGTTTGCTCGATGTTTGCGGACGACCTGACTCTT